GTAACTACCTTCATTTATTCGTGTCAGACACTAATAGTCATTTTCTTTCCCTGGTTTTGTTTTCTTCTCACAACAACAGGTGCTGGTGGGCAGCAATGTCTGGTTTACAGAAGAGGCCAGGATCAACTCTGCCTACTCCAAAGCCTTTAGCTCTGCCCATAGGTGTACACTGTACATTGCCAAACAGCAGCTCACTATTCCAAACCACTGGGTCCAAATACAGGAAGGTCAGAGAAACACAAATGAGAAAGGACAGGGGTCAAGGGCAAAGGAATGAGGAACACATGTCACAGGTCCTTGGAGAGGAGCCAGGGAAGTGCGAAAGGGCTTCTTAGTGCATCATAGGATTCCTGCAGGGAGGTCCACATCCTACAGCAGCTGGTCAGGTTGGTGAAGAAGCTCAGATTTCATCCTGAAAATCTGCAGCCTGGCTGAATTTGCCTCAAGAAATTTTACCAACTCTACTGCGTTGGTTTACACAAACATTAAGAATAGTTAGCTGTCAGAATTATAACAGCAGAGATCTTACAAGAAAATCCAAATGTCTGACTTATTTGAAGAAATCAGAGGGTTTGGCCACATCTTCTGGCACTGATCAAAGAACACTGTTTACCACAGTATGCAGCACCCAACATGTACATGGACCTGTTGCTCTCATTCACATGCACCAGCAGACCTGTGGTTGTCACACTTTCATACACAGTGGGATGACCTGCCAAGACTAGAAGAATATGATAAGGTCCTAAGTATTCAGAAAAATCCATCTGCTCATACATACCAAGGAACCCCCAATAGGTGGGAAGTATCACTTTATTCACTTTTGTGTTTATGCATTCGCTTATTAAGTATTTGTGAACACTGTGGAGACAATGAGCAACACTAACTGCAGTGGATGTGCTCGTCAGTCTTCTAATTGCTGAGACCAAATGCCTGACACTCACAGCTTTCAGGGAAGTTTAATTTGGCTCACAGTTTCAGAGTATTCCGTCCATGGTTGCCTGGCACCAAGGCAGTGATGGCGTGGAAGACGGGTGTGGTATAATGAAGCTGCTTAGATCATGGCATCCAGGTGGCAGAGCAGAGGCAGTGCCAAAGAGGAGGGGATAGGAGTCTTCCACAGTACTCAAGGTCACACCTGCATGACTTATGCAGAAACATGTAGATAGGTGCTTTACTAAACCCCAGGGCATTTCCAATCCAGTTAAGTTGACACATAATCATTATCTGTCACAATCCATCCTTGACAACTGGATAATGAGATGTATCTCCTTACACCACAGATAATCTTCAAAGAAAGATAATAGCAAGTCCATAATCTTGCCTAGCGTGATGCAACTATTTTGAACACAACCCAGAAATGCACAGTTCCTTCCCTAAAGTCTCAATAGTTCCAACATTTTTCAAAAGTCTAAGCCCAAGTCTCTCCTGAGATTCAAGATGAACTGCTAGCTGTGAATATCTATTAAAAAAAACCTCACATGTTTCCAAGGTACAGTGAAAAAGGTAAACATTCTCATTCCATAAAGGAGGGATGTGGGATAGAAAAGAATCAGGTCAAATCAAGATCAAAACCCAGTAGGGAAAACACCAAGTCGAAAACATCAGTATTCAGCACCTGGGTCACACCATGATAAGATGTTATTTCCCGAGGGCCTGGGCAGCCCCAACCCTATAACTTTGCTGGGTGCAGCTCATAAAGCTTCTCTCTTGGGTTAGTTTCACCAATGGCCTGTAATTTTCCTCAGTAGACATTCCAAATCTCTGTCATGTCTAATTTCCTGGTGTCTCTATTGCATTTCTGGCTTCATGCCCATAATTCATGCACCGTCCTCTCAGGGGCTCCTTGTCTGGCCTTCCAGGTCTTCTTTGAAATCCATGTGGAAGTTCCCTGATCCCACTACTCTTGCATTCTGAAGTCAGTGAAACCATAATCTCCTTAATGACACTGAGCACAGTGAAATGAGTACCAAGGAGGCCCTTCTGGAGCTGGGTAACAGTGACCCTCCTTTCAAAAGAAGGCTTACATGTTTGTTCCCTTGAACCTGCCATGGGTAGGGTCTTGCTGATTCCTGAGATGCCTGCAAGTATTCTTTCTTCTTGAAAAAGAAAAAAAAATTTTTTCTTCTTCAGCCTGTACAAAGTTCTTGGATTTCATTTATGACACTAATCTCTTTACCAACCACATCTCCTCTAGCCCCAATTTTACATGTGAATTTTTTCGGGCAAAATTAAAGTTTTTAAACATTTTCTGCTAGGCTTTTTGTCCCAATTTTCACTACAAATCTGGCTGAATGCAGTTAGCTATACCCATACTACAGCCTGAAATGCCTTAAAATTTCCTCTCCCAGATCAATCAGTTCACTGCCCTCAATCTCAGTCTCTCACAGAGCCTCAGGACAGGGGCAAAATACAGAAAATTTTGTTTGTTTGTATATTTGTTTTACCAGAGTGTAACACTCATGGACTGTAATGCAATTTTCAGTGCATTCCTTGCTCCTGAGGGTGGTTTCATGTCTGCATTCCTATCAGCATTCTGATCTTCCGAGCTCCCATCAGAGTCATCCATCGGGTTCTGCTTACACCATTCTAGAGTTCCTATAATCCACATCCCTAAACACTTCCAAATTCCTCCCACAGACCTGTTCCAAAGGCTTCTAAACCACTGGTCAAGCAAGGACACAGAAATGACCTCATTCT